TCATCGTCCTAGGCAGGAAACAATGTAACACAGGTTATATCTACGCCAGCCTAATAGATGAAGAAGGGGTTCGAGGCTGGTTAGCAGAATTTTTCTGTTTACCCCTAAAGTCTTTGCCTAGGAGGCCTTCTACAAGACAGAAGCTGGATGCAGTTAACAACTCAACCAAGGCAGGGGATGTTTAGCTGGATGCAGTTAACATCTGCCCAAGGTGAGTGTTTTTATCGAGACACCATCTCTAGCCTTTACTCAACCAAGAGCCCCAAGGCAGGGGAATTTTTAGCCAGAGTTTATTTCTCTTAGCCTTTGCCTAAGAAGTGCACACTCTGCAAGGCAGCAGGGCTTGTAGCAGGTGGTACTGGGTTATGTGATACCAGTAGCAAGATTGATCTCGATTATCATGACCTGACCTGGAGTAGTTAAAAGGAGTTACTTCCCGCAATAGTACTTTGACAAAACCAGGCATGACATTTTGGAAGTGCATTAGGAAAAACACTGCATCTAACAAAATACAGGAGTCTAAGGTGAGTGAAGGTTTTGTAGTTGGAGTAAGTAGCTAGTTACTGAGCTCACGCTGCATCAGAGAATAAACAGAACATAAACAAACATAAATCAAATTACGGGTGAGTCAACACCGCGTCAGAGGTTCAGACAGAACACAAACATACATAAAAAACATAAAGTAACTTACGGGTGAGCAAACACTGCGCCAGAGGTTCAGACAGAACACAAACATATATAAAAAAACATAAAAAACATAAAGTAACTAACGGGTGAGCGAACACCGCGCCAGAGGTTCAGACAGACACAAACATACATAAAAATCATAAAGTAACTTACGGGTGAGCGAACACGGCGCCAGAGGTTCAGACAGAACATAAACATACATATAAAGTAGATTACAGGTGAGCTAATAGAAGTTAATAGCTAACAGAAGTTAATACAAGTTAATAGCTAATAGGTGAGCTAAAACAAGTTAAGAGCTAATAGAAGTTTTACGCAATGCTTTACATGATGATCAATTTCAGACTTCTGAACAAATCTCTTTATCATTGCTCATATTTGACAAGTATTGAGGAACTGCAGTCTAACAAATGACTTTACTTTCAGTAAAGCACATAACTCCAGACCATAACTTTACATCCTTACATCCTAGTCATTTTACATCTAATTTAATTTTTTTTGTGCATAATGTTTTTAATTAAATGGTGTATGCCATATGGTGAATGGAGTATGTATTTTCTTGATGATGTATATTGTATTGATTTTTCCTTGTAGTTTTTTTAATTTAACTAGTAATTATTGAAATCAATTAAAAAAAAAATTGATAAAAATACACATTCATACATTTCATAATGATTTTAAATTTTTTTTACAGTCATAAATGATTTTTTAGTCATAAATGATTTGATTAAATTAATTTTAAAACCTTTGCATTAAAATCATGACAAAATTTTTTTTAATGTTAACCTTAAAGTTAACAGGTGCATACTCTTTAGGATGTCCCCAAAAAAAAAAAAAGCTCTCTACTGATTCCTATTCTATGTGACCTAAATAAGTACTTAAAAAATGACGGTTTTATTTTAGGAAGTACTAGATGTAAAATCTGAGTTTTACTGATTTAACATTAATAGAAAACACAATTTTTTTACATTTTAGAAAATCAAACTAATTAAATGCGTATAAATCATTTCTACTATTATTATATTGTTTTCTACTATTTAACTTGATAGATTATATTTATAAATATGAAAATACAACAAACAAACAAAAAAAAATACATGAAAACTAATATTTATTAGCAAATTTAAGATTTTATTGTGGTGAAACATTTCTCAAAAAATACAACTTTTTGAACAGTTCCCAAGCTCCTTTTTAGTCATACTCTTAGTCGAGTTTTTTCTAGACTATTTAACTACAAAAAATACATTTTGAAGGTGATCTTCATCTCTAGTAACTGGAATAAAATCTTTAATGAGTTTAAGTTTCTTTCTGCACCATCATTTACAACAGATATGTTTTTGATCCATGCAATAAAATCTAGTAACTGAGGATGATTAATAACATCTATAGTATTAAGACTATTATTGAGCCATTTTTTTATACTTGCTCTTGATATTTTAAAATGTTTGAAGAGAAGGAAGCTTTGCTCGGAAATCAACTCAGGTAGCTCTGTGAATGATCCTATTTTTTAATAATGTCCTATGGGAACTATTTGTGTACCAATTATTACATCATTTTTTCAAATTGTTTATAATTCATAACTGGACCCGAAAACCAGTTACTTTAGTGGAACACATGCAGCCGTGGGAGCCTCAGTGAAGAAAAAGCAAGGATTATATTAGAGTCAGAGTTAGCTCAAGATTATTACAAAGCGTTTGGACAGATGTCCAGTTATAAAAGCACAAAACTAAAGCAAAAATTAATTTATGTTATTTTAAAGTTGTTTACGTACATTTCATCATTATTTTAAGTAGAACTAATAAAGCAGGGTAGCGCGTAGAATTTAGGCATAATGAGTAAAGTCTTAAAAGAGCGAATAGAAGAGAGGTTATGTAACAATTATGAGTGGTCTTTATATCTAAAACATGAAGATAAAATGCTATCTAGGTGAAAAGAGAACAAAATAAAAAGTGTGCTAGCAGCGGGATGCGAATCTGGATCGCAGCGGCGAGATGTCAAGTACCTAACTGAATGAGCTAAACAATGTTATCATATGCAAAGATTTAATAGTATATAATTTAAAATTTTTAAAATTGTATTTCTAAAAAGCTCTATATACTTTAGAGAAACGTATTTCAATAGGATTCTATCAGTAAAGGTGTATGATTGGTAATATAAACTTTTAATAGTTTTCAGCATGTGTGTGTAATAAATAAAGACAAGCGTTTTTAGAACGATGTTACTATGACTTATGAGTGAGTAGACTTGTACAGTGTAGTGTACTTGATCAATTAAGAATAAGTACAGGTGCTTGTAGAGTGCTTTTTGTTTTTGTTTTACAACTGACTTAAATAGGAATTGGCGCAGCGGAATGTGCATACATCGACTGACTTAAATAGGAATTGGCGCAGCAGAGTTTGCATACATCGACTGACTTAAATGGGAATTGGCGCAATGGAGCTTACTCGCAAGTGCAAAGGGTTTTGGTTAGGGTAGGCAATCTATAAAAAATATCCCTTACTAAAAAAGTTCACTATTTGTGTATCAGTTATAAGAACATTTAAAATTGTGAGAATATTAATTCTTTTGTACAATCAAAAATTAAAAATTATTACATCATTAAAACCTATTGAAATACTAGATAGCGCTATTTTTATGTAAATACACATGTGTACAATACCGTAAAACTCAGAATTTACATCTATCACTTCTCAAATTTACATCTATCAGTCATTAAAAAATAAAAAAAAAGGTTTTGGTAACTATTTAGGACCTATAGAATGGGGATCAGTTAAAATTTAAAAAAAAGTATGTGTTTGGGACACCCTAATACTCTTTCACAATGTAAAGTTAAGAAATGTAATATTTAAAGTTCATTTTACAAAAATGACTTTGTACAACCTTTTTATCACTGCTACAATGAAACTTTAAGAGATTGACACATTTGTTGAAATACATTAAGTTATAATAAATATAATAAAATTATAATTTCATTTTCCGTTATCAATGATTGATGAAGAAATCAATTATAAAATTATGTATGGATGTTTACCAAAAACTCAGATTATGTCACAAACACCATTTCAGACATTAATTCAGATTATTTCACAAACACCATTTCAGACATTGAGTGCAATGTAAATGGAATATTCTACTCTCATTAACCAGCATTTACAAGATAAATTAATTTTAGCATGTATATCATAAAGAAAATTTAAAAAGCAAGCCTCATACTTTTCGGGGATTTTTTCATTCCTAAAAACTCCATTAAATTGTTAAAAATTATTTAAAGACAAAAAAATTTTCTGTAGCCCAAGAACTGCATTTTTAACCTCAGAATCTTAAGTGACAAAATTCTTAAAAATCAATACAGTTTCGCATCCCTGACTACAAGTACTTGACTCAAATAAAAACAGTACTTGGCACCCTAAACAATAAGCTAATTAGTTGCTGCATATCTGTTATTCAACCAAAAGTTTTTGACAAAAGATCCTTTATATGACATCAATAATGCACATGAAATTTCTTCATATAAAAAGCTGGCATAGATATACATCTATGGCAGATTTTTAATAAAGAAAGAAGGGAGTTTGACCAACAGAGGTTTTATGCTTACCCTTAAATTGTTCACCATAGAACAAACTTAACCAAGAACACCAAGGCAGAGGAGTGTTTAAAGTCAAAGTTAACTTTCTGAGTTGTAGGACTCATATTTCAGTTAACCTGAAATATGAGTCCTATAAGCAGTAGAGCATTTGGCTATACCGAATTACATGTTGCCAGGGTGATCATGACAATTCTGACCCTCTAAAAGGTTGGAACAACAAAAAATCAAACATAAACTACATTATTTTCAAACTTTCCCAGCTAAAGAGTACAATTATTAAATGATGCATTTGTAGTATTCTTTATATAACTTATTTTTAAAACTCAGCAAATCAATTATGGTTTATGTGATAAACAAGTCAAGAAAGATTGTGTAGTTCTTCAAATAAACATACTGAATTTTTGATAAAGTATATAAATTCACAGATAAAATACCCTGGCAATTGCTTCCATTTTATCAGCAGTATCATTTCTATACAAGGAATTATTTTAAATCTGTTTTTAATTGAATAAATCAAGTTCAAATGCATACTACCACCACAAATATACTTTAAACATGTTAAAAATACTTTTAATATGTTAATAACTGTCAAAATAAATAATAATAATTAATAATATATTTATAATAATATAAATTAAATAATTAAGACCACAATATAAATTAAATAATCAATTTTTAAATATTTTGATTTAATCCTTAAAACTTATTAAAACAAAATAAAAAAAAGTACCTGACAACATAGCAAACAAATTCTGCTCAGTTTGCTTTGAAATTGGTGTGTAACCTTTATAAAAAATAGATTTCATCTCTTCAAAAATAAATCTATAACTTAATTTTAACTTTCTTTGCAAGTGTGCTGCGGATGCTTCATCTATGGTAATCATAAATATATTTGGCTGCAAAAATAATTTTGGTAATGGTAAATCTTTAGGTTGAATAGAAAGTAAAAAAAAAGTTGCTCTAGATTCATCAAAGAAAACCACTTCTAACATATTCATCTCGCTTTGTAAAGGTAAAAGTTTTGATGTCTTTTTATCAGCAACTAAAGAAAAAAAAAATCTTTTTGAATGAAATTAAGAAGCATAGTACTTCAACATAGTTCATTAAAGTAAGAAAATAAAGTAGTAATAATATACTAAGAATAACGTAATAAAGAATTCATATTAAAGAAATCATATTAATTTATTCTTAAAATAAAATGAAAATCCACTTTAAAAAGCTTCAGTCTATTGTCAATTATATGTATATAGTTATCATTTAACTAAGAACTGAAGATTGAATATAAAATCCAGGCTAAGAACCAAAAAAAATTTTGGTTCTTAGTCTGGATTTTTGGTTAAATATTTTAAATACAAAGATATTGTAATTCTACACTTCTCCTTTGAATTTAATTTTCTAAGAAATGACATATAAAATTAAAAAGCAAATTGACCTTAGGTCTGAGTTATTTAGAATCAGATAATCTAGTTATTTCTTTATTAATAAATTTAATATTTATTATTAGATCCGCTGTTGCACAGTGAATAATCCAATGATTTACATCAAATGTAAAAATGTAGCAGATCTATGAATAACATTGAAGAATTTTATTTTGCACAACTTAACAAGAATCTGACATTGAAAACAATCTGACAGGAAATGTACCTAACTAGACTTAAGAAATGAAAAACACTGAGTAATTATTATACATTATTTATCATGTTTTTGAAACATTAACAGACTCTTAAGATATTTAAAATAGTATTATAATTTTATAATATTATAAATATTATAAATCATATGGCTATGAATATAAATGATAAATTATATGGCTCTGAAAAGCATAATTTACAAAGATTTTTTAAAAATATAGGTATTCAGTGTCCTAATCATTCTTTTTGCACTAAAACAAGGTGGCTGTCAAAAGGAAAATCACTTAATCAGCTTTTTAAAATAAGTAAAATTTTAATTTAAAAAAGAAAGCTAAAAAAAATTAAAAATTAAAAAAGTGTTGAAACAGAGCTAATACATAAAGTAATATAAAAGTAAAGCTTGGTTACTTAAAAGAAAAGATTGGTTACTTAGCTGACAAAGTTAAATTGACTGAAAATTGAAATGAATAATAAAAAGTTTTAAAAAGTCCTAACTTTAAGTTTCTCTAAGTTTTTTTTAATTGAATTCTTTTTTTGTTTATTTTGCTTATATCATTTTTAGATTTTCACAGCTATCTTAAATATTTTACATCCTCACAGTAACCTAAAATTTTGATCTTCACAGTTATCTCAAATTTTGGTATTTGTAATATAAATTTTTGTTTACTTTTGCTTAACACTGATTTCCAATTTTACCTAATTAGCCAGCCAAACAAATTTTATCTAATTAGCCCGCTAAACAAATTTTATCTAATTAGCTAGCCAAACAAACAGATAATTTTACATAATAAGCCAGCCAAATAAATTTTACTTAATTAACCAGCCAAACAAACAGCTAATTTTACTTAAATAGCCAGCCAAACAAACAGATAATTTTACTTAAATAGCCAGCCAAACAAACAGATAATTTTACTTAATTAGCCAGCCAAACACACAGATAATTAAGCAACAATAAAAAACTTTTAAAATAATTAATAAAATTTTAATGTTTTTATTGAGAACAATTAAAATGCAAAATAAAATCATAAATAGAGAATGATGAAATAAAATTAATACATTTAACATGATGATTCAACAAGTTACAAAATAATATAAACACATTTTTCATCTCTACATTATTGCAAGGGTTAGACTTTTACCAAAAATTTACTGATAAAAAGTTGACAGTAAATTTTGGCAAATTCATTTAATAATATCACTGCAATGTAATCCACAGATTATTATAATTTTTGAAATCAGTTGATTTCTGCATTCTGGAAAAGATACATGTGCTTATTATTTCACTCAGTTAAAAGTTTTAAATCTATTTCAATTAAGAATGACAGATTTTTTTCTTACAACGCTGTTAAAAATTATTTTCTTCAATAATTAAAGTATTAATTATTAGAAATTTTGGAAAGTGATAGCTAATATCAATATTTATTATGCTACTTTTATCATTACAAATTGTATAATTATTAGTGATAATACCAACAAATTATATTGCAAATTACAAGTGGTTTATCCTGCTGTTCTAAAGAAGATTATTTACAAAGCAATTGGCATTCATTATTTTTAGATTGTTTATGTTCATCATCATTCATCACTCATCATCAAGTCTTCCGCATCGTTCATCATTATGTCATCTATATCATTCATCATTAAATTCATACCTTAAATATGTTTTTAATTTAATTTTTTCAGTTTTTTATTATCTTTCTATTAAAATTATTATCTTTCTATTAAAATTTCTTTGTTGGTTTTGTTTTTGCATGAACATTTCAAACAAAGCTTATTCTTTCTTGTGATTTATTTGTGGTCTTTATCAATCAATTTAATTCAGTCAAAAAATCAGATGCTTGAAAACACTACCTTGTTTAAAGGAAAAATTATTAGCAATACAAACCAATTTTCAAGTTCTATTGTTATCAGTGTTTTTGTTTGATCTGCCTGAAACAGGTTATGATTTTTCACTTTCTGGATAAGATACATTTGTATCTTTCCTATCCAGAATGCTTGTCTGTGATTGAAGCATTAGAAGTTATCAACATCCCTTCTTTAAAAGACTGACAAAAATTTGCAGTCTCAGCATTTCCCAATGAATCCATATAACTTAAAATTTGTTCAAGAAGTACACTACAAAACTTCAACGAAGTAATTTGGCTAAAAAACTTTGTTAGAATTAAACAACAAATTCAAGTCAATTAAAAAAAAGTTACTTTATGAAGCAACCACTGAGAAAAACAGTAATCATAAACTTTTGTTCGTTGAATGACTAAACTTCTAACAAGGGTTGAGTCTTAGCAAATCTTTTATGGAGCTGAACTATTTGACAAAAATTTGATCCAGAATAAGGGACGAATTACTTGTATCATATCATAATATTGTACTATATTTTTTATAATACATGCTTTAATTAGTATCAATCCTTGGAATTAGGGACAGAATTTGCCAATATCGACTTAACTGACAACTTACACATGTCTGAGGTCAGCTTTATTTTACCAACCTCATTTTTATGCTGTTCTATAGAGAAACCTTTGTGTTCAAAATTTTGTGCTGACCAAAAATAGTTCTAAGTCAGCATGAAAAAATAAAATAATTACTACTAAAACAATTTATAAATTTTTAAAGCAATATAAATAACAAAAAACCTTTACCTGAAGTCCAAAAGCTATACTTTAGGTTGTTTCTACTCTCACACATATTGTAAAGGCATAACTCTTGGCCTTCAGATGGCACACCACCCCATAATGGATGAATGCAAAATTCACTATTTTGAATTTTGATTACATTTTCATGTATTATGTCAAAAGAAGTAGTACAATTAGATGTTATGACTAACCTTACATTATTGACTATTTTTTGATCTTTTTTTACTCCAATGCACATATTGGTTACCTGAAAAAAATAATACTTTCAATAACATTATTAAATCTATTCATATAATACTAGCTGTCCAGACCCATAAAATATCGGTCTTAGTAAATCTATTCCACACCAACCTTTTCTATACTTATTCATTACTTCAATATTTTTTAGTTGGCGGCAGAAAAATAACTCTATCCATTTACAAAAACTATACTGTTTTTGTAAATGGATAGAGTTATTTTTACTAAACTATAAATTGTTTATTTTTTAAAGTTTTGAAAAAAAAAAGTTTAAATAACTTTAAAAATCTTTAAATGTTGTTATTTATCAACTAATTAGATATTAGCAGCTGTCTAAATAATATTTAGAATACCTGCTTGAAATGTCTTAATTAATTACCATGGGTTTAAAAAATTTTAAAAAACATGAGACGACTTAAATATTTGGAATAGCGGACTTACCATGAATTGTATACTGGTCATTATAAGTCTATTCCACTCCAACCATTTTAATAATTTTGCTGTATTTCAATAAGTTTTAAAAAAGAACAAAACATAAAAAACATTGTTTTCAGTTAACGATTTATGTTTAATACTTTATAACTTCTACAAAAATAAAGAACAAAAAAAAAAAGCGGAAAAGAGCTTGATTATTTTTTTCTTTAATAAGTTTTTTTTTTTTTTTTTTCAGACCATCAGTAGTTTATTATGTCTCTTGCCCAGTTAATTTTGAAGAAAGTTAAACTTGGCATATAAAACCTTTTTTTTTATAAGAAAGAAAGTTGTCTCTGCTAACTGTGTTCTGCATGTTAAACGCACAAGCTAATTACTTAAGCACATTAACAACGTATTAATTACTTAAGCACATTAACAACGAAAGTTGTTTATCATAAAAAATAATAAATTAATTATAAGCGCATAAACTTTGTGTGATTATAATTAGTTTATCTTTATCTCTATCATGACATGTATCCATAGTATTTTTTAAATGTTTTATTTTTTATTCGAGAAAATTAGAAAAAAACTAAAAAAAAAAAGTTAAGTTTATAAGCAAAAGGATTTTAAGCCACACGAAACACTTCAACCACTTTAGCATGCTTTATCATCTTTTAAAATTGTTTATAAACCATAGACTTATTAAACTTTATAAAACATTTATAGCATATAAATGGCATAAATCAAAATTAAAAAGATATTGCTGAAATGAAATTTTCAAGTAAAAGTAAATCTGTAAAGTTTGATATAATTTACATAACTTGAAGTTTACAGGTTATTTGCATCAGGCTTTCGTTCACATTGATAAAATAAATATGCAAAAGAAAAAATACAAATCATTTCAAATAGTGGTTTTAAAAAAATGCCTGATAGCTTTGTAAAAAAAAAAAAGAAATTTTTATTTACATATTTATTAATAAATTAACAAAGCACAAAAATTTTAAATAGTTTTTAATTGTATGAATATATTGAACAAACACGTAATCTGATTAATCTAAAAAAATTAATCTAATTAAATAAAGGAAAAAAATACATCAGATTTATTAATTGAAAATCAATTTATTTATCCTAAATAAGGGCAACTTTAAATAAGGTCAACTTTAGCTTTAATAAATTTAACATCCTATGATGATACAATTTCAATAAATCACCCATAAAACAAAACATATTTATATTCAATATTTCAGAAAATTATAAAAGTAAAGTAGGAAATACAAAAAACTAATGGCCTGTAAATCTGTGTATCATATCTACAACGTGTACATTTATACATCATATCTACAAAGTCTTATCAGTTAAAAGCGTCCCAGACTTTTCAATATTATACAGAGTATAATGCTATTTTGATATTTAGTTATCTAAATTCTGTTATTGCTGTGCACTTGTTTTAGAATGATTAAGGGGGGTGTGGAAAAATAGCTGTAAAACTTTAAATTTCCTTATTACTCTAATATTATGTATTTTTAACTTTTTATTACTTTTAAAAATTATAATTTTGATATAATGGTTTATTTTAAATATAAAGTAAGAATTTTGAATTGTTCTTAATAAAAACATTTTTTAAGCCCTTTGTTTAAAAAAAGTAAACATTGCTGCGCAAGCCTTCCCAGGAAAAGCGTGCGGTTTTTCATTGGTTTTTCATGACCACAAAAACGGTTTTCAAGTTAGAGAACGTGATCATGGCCATTTGCGCAAGTTTTATTATATGCGTTGCTGAAAAATTGTTTTAAATTTAACTACATAAGAAATTATAGTAAACTTAAATAGAAAACAATAATAATAGTTTAAATAATTTGTGTGTTGTTTTTATTTTTGTTTTTCCTTAGTGGTTATTATTGGCAACAAAATTCAGTAAGTCAAAGCAAAAAAAAAAAAAAAAAAAAAAAAGGATGACTTTCCCATATTTTATGTGTTTTTTCTTTTAAAGAGGAAAGAGAAAATATGTATCGTCATCTGTTTGTAAAATATATTTGTATAATTATAATGTAACAAGTTTATATCAAGAGTTATATTATTCAATTTGCAAACTCTGGTAAAATATTAGGTCCTTAAAATTTTAGTTCATGCAAAGCTGTGTACTTTGTTTACAAGGAGCAAATTATTAAAAGTTTGCTAGCGAGAAAGTTACAAAAAACAAAACAAAAACAATAAACTTACGACTACAAAAGTAATAACACTTTAGTCACTAACTGCATTATAAAAGTAATAAAACTAAAACAGTGTTATTGCATTTATAAAGCACTTATTATTTTTAAACTTCATTCTTTGTTCAAACAAAAAATTCCAAACATTTATTAAAATAGAAAAACATCTAGAAAAAATAAAGTGGATATTCAAATATTATTAAAAATTTCAGGAACTTTCACAGATCACTTAAATAACGTTATAAAAAAGTACTTTATAAAAAGTATAGCATTATAAAAAACGTTACATAAAAACGCGCGTTAATTTTAAAATCAACCAATAACAAAATTTTTATTGGGTAATTTTAAAATTAACGCGTGTTTTTACGGTCCATTAGTAACGTTTTTCATAATGCTAAACTTTTAATACAATACATTTTTATAAAGTTGTTTCTCACGTTTCTATAAGTTATTTAAGTTTTAATATTATTTGAACATCTACTTTATTTTTCTAGATATTTTTCTACTTCAATTAAAATTTGGGAACACTAATGTTGCTTGAACAACGAATGAATTTTAAAAGTTATAAGTGTATTATAAAAGTAATAACACTATTAAAGTGTTATTACTTTTGTAATGCAGTTAGTGACTTAAGTGTTATTATTTTTGTAATCGTAAGTTTATTGTTTTATTTTTTATTTTTTCGCTAACAAATTTAAGTTGATTCTCCCCTTAAAAACAAGGAACACGGTTTTGTATAAACTATAATTGGCGGAGGTGTATTTGATTCACATGTGATTAAAACGATGATTTATTTTAGCCATTTTTTAATATTAAATTTTTAAAAATTAACTAAGAAATGCCACCCTCCCCTAACCCCGTGAATCAAATACACCTCCGTCCTAAAATTTTGAATACTAGATATTTTTCCAGATTTTGCGTTTCGCATTCGCTTAATTCAACCCTTGCTGTTACATTAAAATTATACAAATAAATTTTACAAATACATTGCAAATAGTATTATTGCTATCCTAAAAAAAAATTAAGAAAAGGAAAACCATTCTTTTTATTGTAGGCTTCAAACTGTTTTTTTTTTTTGCTTTACCTTATCTAATTTTGTTGCTAATTTTGTTGTAATAACCACTCTAAAGAAACAAAAATAAAAACAGTACACAAATTATTTAAATAATTAATTTGTTTTTATTTTTTTCCATTTCTATCTCTTTTTTTTTTTGTTAGTTTTGTTTTTTTTGTTTTTGAAACTTTTTCAGCATTACTATGAAACTTGCAAACGGCCGTGTTCAAGTTGTCTAAAATAATATTCTCGCGTGTGGTCATACAAGACGAAAAACCGCACATCTTTCTTGGGAAGGCTTGCTGCGTGGCAAGTTCAAATCATCAGCTTGCTAATTTTTTTTAATATTTGTTATTTAAAATGCAAAACAAAACAACTTTTTTTCTTTCAAAATAAACTTATTCTTCAAAATCATTTTACTTTGTATTTAAAAAAAATCGAAAAAGATTAAATTAAAAAAAAAAAAAAAACGATGGTAGGAATCGAACCTGGAACTCCTGCCTCAGAGCGATGCGTGCTAACCACTCGGCTAAGCAGACTTATTGTTAACGTAATATTAAAAGTATAAAACATATCAAAAACTTTATCAAACAAAATTAAGTGCTACAGATCAAATCTTAAGGAGAGGTTGCCGCAATTTTCAAGTGAAAGTAAAACTGAAAAAATTGATATATGTTTTAGTATGTTTTTAACTTTACATAATTTGAAGAATACACTTTTGTTGATATTATATAAAAAAGTGCTCTCTATTCTTTTTCGCTATTACCTTGGTTGCAATGGCTGCCAAGAGTATCGTGTCAAATAGGCTCGAAAGGGCGCTACTACTACTACTAATACTACTACTATTAAGTTCAGTATTATTAAATAGATTTTTATATTAAAAAAACAATTATTTTAAATTAGAAAATGAAAAACAAATAAAATGTTGATAGAAACTATTACATTTTACAATGTTGATAGAAAGTAGTACAAGTTACAATGATTTTCTCTCTCATTATTACTTATGATTTATCATACTAAACTTATGATGCTTTTATTTAGCTATTTAATTATTTATAAAGAAAGACTTTGTTAACTTGGTTGATCAAAACTTTTATCACATTTACACACCATTTACACACCTGAGTATATTTTAACACTATTTGGATTTTTTAAAGTTGAAACCAATTTCTTATATAAAGTTTTGACTTTTTTGTATCAAATACCTTTGCAATGGGTTTGTCTTTATTAAATTAACATTGACTATTGCATTGCAAACAAATTCATTGCAAACTAATTTTCTCCTCAACATTTTTGAATTTATAAATTGTAAAATAAATTATTTCAGTCTTTTTTTATTCCATTTATTATAGTTTTGTTTATATTTTGACTTCTTAATTACAAATTGATAAATTCTGAAAATTGATTGTGGTAAAGAAATTGATTGTGGTAAAGAAATTGATTGTGGTAAAGAAATTGATTGTGGTAAAGAAATTGATTGTGGTAAAGAAATTGATTGTGGTAAAGAAATTGATTGTGGTAAAGAAGTGATCATGAAGATCAAATTTTTATCTGATATCATCAAGTGCTAGTTGGAATGTTAAAAACCATGTGTTACATTCTCTATTACAACATTTATATACACATAAGGTAATAACTGACAGGATAGTGTGACAACAGAAACGCTGATTTTTTTTTTTTTTTTTTCAAAAAAAAAAGAAAGTAAAAGATAGGCAGTCATTAGAATATCTCATTAAAAAAAATAATGAAAATTTTCTTTTAAATAGTCTATTGTTCTTTCACTTAGTTTGTTACTGTCATTATTGCGTACTATTTTTTTTTAATTTAATTTAATTGATTCAAACTGCTTATTTTTACTGTTGTTATAATATAAAAAATATAAAAATATTTCCTCATAATGTTTTTTTGATAAAATATTTGTAAAGGTAAATATTAAACTCTTTTTTGATTTAAAAAAAAGTATTAATCTCATAAAACTGTCATTGAATATTAATGACATAAAATTTAAACAACCCCTCTACAATTGAGGAAAACTGTTAACTTTACATGTTCACCTCTTGTATTTTTTAAAGAAAGTTTTTTTTAAATTACAGCAATTTAGAGCAAATATATTAATTTTAATCAAATCATAAATGATCAAAAGAATTCAAATTTTATCAAAAAATGAAACACAAATCTCAACAAAAAAGCTGCTACGCAAAGAAACAAGTTGATTCAACAGTACTATATACCGGTACTACCAGGGGTGTGGTGAGAAGGTAAGTCAATCACCCATTATCAATTTATAATTACATATATTACTTGATAACACAATATTACTCAATGAACCAACATTACTTCATAATAAAACACGCAACTAGATTTAAATAAAAAAAAACAAACAGACAAAATTACTTTATGCCTAACCAATCCATTCATTTCAAATGTAAACACTGCTTCAATTGCAGAGCAATTTGTTGTAAATATCAAACTACTTTCTCCATTTTCCACTGTATTTACAGGGATTATACAACGATTTGATGCTTTATTACGAAGAGCTCCAGAATACCCTAAGATAAAATAAATTTTCGATTAAAATTTCTTTTTTTTTTTTTTTTTTACTCAGCTTTATATTTAATATAAAATTTTAACATTTTTGTAATACTTACTTTCAAAAATAAAATTTACAGTGTTGTTTACCTTCTTGTTACTAATTAAAAGCAACAAGTAAATGTGCTTAAAAACTTTTTACTTTAAAATCTTTTAAATAATAATTAAAACATTTATCTAATTTGCTGACAAAAATAGTTCTGCAATTGAAAATTAGTTATTTTTATTATTTTATCATTTTAAATTATTATTTTTGCATAATATATTTATACAATAGATTTTTCAATTGAACTTGTTTTGTGGTAATTTATTATAATGTGGTAGTTTAAATAAGTTGAAAAAATAATAATAAAGAGAACTTAATGACATTGAATTTACATAAAGCTAATGCGTTTAACACTTTAAAAACTTGTTAGGAAATATTGTACACGTTTTACATACAAAATGACATTTATACCTACGCTTCAAGTCATAATTAATTATTGTAAAAAAAAAATTTTCACCACAATTGTGAAATAATTTATTTTTGTGAAAACTCATAAACTGAATTAAAAAAAGAAAATGCTCTAAGTTTAAACTTTTCATCATACTTAATGTTTGATTTAAGATTGAAAACTTAAATTTAATTTTGAAAGAATATAAAATATCTTCACAATTTTTTTACTTAAGAAACAATTTTTTCTTTGTATGTGCAAACTAATGATTTAAATTTTTTTCTTTGTATGTACAAAAAAACTAAACATTGAAGCCTCCATCATAGATTAAGATGTGAGAAAACAACAAAAAAAAATCATTTTTAGAGTTTTAGTTTAAAAAAATTATTTCAATGAATGAAATTAAAAATTTTTTTTCCTAATTAATTCAACTTTGATAATTCAATATCCCAAAGAGTTCTTTAACCATGTTTTATAATAAATGAATAAATGTTTGTGCGTATGTGTGTGACACGTTTTTATTTGTGAGTAATATTGAATACTTTTTGTTTTGTTTATTTATTGTTATTTTTTAATGAAGTATTAATTTTACTTTTATTGTTTTTATTATGATTATTGATATTAAAATTATTATATTTATTAAATCATTGTTACTTTTTTTTGTAGTAATTGTTTTAGTTACATGGTAAGTTGTTATGTTTTGTCAGTACATAACTGTTTGTAACTTTCCAATCTGTGCATTATATTCAATTGTTGTTTTAAAATTGATATTGGTTTATTATCATATAATTTTCTTATTATTTTTTTAACTTTTAATTTATCATCATTATTATTATCATTATTATTTGTATTATCAATCCTATTGCATGGTATTTACTTAAGATTAGTTTTTAACTATTTATAAAAGACCTCGATTGTCCTTTTATCAAAATATATTGATTGATTGATTGATTGATTATGAACATAAATTGTATTAACAAATATTTGGTATCTGTTGAAATCTATAAATTAACCATTATCTTTATTAAAAATAGTTCATCAGATACTTAATTTAAAAAAAAAAAAAAACTAAATGGTGATAAAGTAAACAAAAGAATATGTTATGTATAAGTTTGTTTTAAAATAAAAATAAGAAAATCTTTTAGAAAAGTTTATTATAGTCATGTTGTTAAAAAGTTTTTTAACATGGTTTAAAATTTAATTACAATGCGGTATTTTAAAATTTTTTTAATAAAGTATAACTTGCAGAAGACTAAATTTATTTCAGAAGTTGATAAAAAAATATAATAACTTGCCATAATATAAAAAATAAGTTAAAAAATTAGCTGTTGGTGTAGCTTCTATGTATTGAATAAATGTCATAGCATTCTTTGGAAACCATTAAACTTAATATATATATATATATATATATATATATATATATATATATATATATATATATATATATATATATATATATACATATCTTTTTGCAATGACATCACAAATGGAGGTTGTCAAAAGTGTTGTTTAACAGCAAAAAGTAAAAAAGTTTAATGGAGAAAAAATAAATCAAAAAACATTTTGGTGGTAAAAGTTTACAAAATAAGTGTATAAACAAAAAATATAAATCATAAAATCCTCTGTGGAAGTGGTGGAATGCCTTCTACCTTTGTGATCTGCTGCCAACTTCCCCGTAGAACAATATTTGGAACAGTCTTGATACGGTCCATTTTTTCATGCGATATTTATCACAGATACTTTTGACATTCCATTTACGTAATCGTCAATAATTTTCTTTCTTAGTTTCAATCCAAGACTGTAGGGAGCCATTTTTGCACTTGAAGTCATAAAAATAAAAATAAATAATCACGCTTCTCAAGGCTTACCGTGTTACATTTACCTTGTGATGAAACAATAATGCTCTGTGGAACACAACATCTTGGTTAGATGTGGACTGTATTGATATAATAAAAAACTTGTTGTATTTCACTTCTTGTATTGATGTTCTTCAATAAAACACTTTGATAAAACTCACTTCGATAAACTGTCTTGATAATACTGACTGATTGACTTCCATATACTGACTGAACTACATCTCAGTTTACATGTCTCTTATATAGTAAAATGAACCTGTGTGAACCTGTTCTGGAAGATCCTAGATGCTTCTTTTCAATGCTTCTGAAGGCTTCTGGATGCTTTTGAATGTTTCTGGATACTTCTGGATGCTTCCAGATGCTTCTTCTGGAAACTTCTGGAAGCTTCTGCATGCTTCTGGATACTTCCTTTAATTATTAAAAAACTTCCGTGACGTTGAGACGGACCAGACTTAAGAAAATGAAACAAACCAATGTTTTGCCGCTGCAAAATGGCACTTATCAACAAAATTCTGCGTGTGTGCTGTCACCTGTCAGCTGATTGCTCATGAACTGAACTGTTCATGGGCAATCAGCTTATGAGACTTCTGAACTGTTTGCTGTGGTAGTATAGCTCGTTTTATTTTTAAGGCATGTAAAATTAGGAACACTTTTGTTGACTAAACAACAATTACCTGAACTCTGGAAATCAGCAAATGTAACCCTAATTTTAAAAAAGGTAATATGAACAATGGATCTAACTACAGGCCAATCTCATTGATCTCTATCCCATGTAAAAAGTTGGAACCAATCATTTGAGATAAAAGTATGTATTATCTAATAAAAACAATTTATTAAATAAAAATCACAACAAACCTACTGGAAACTCTTAATATAACAGACGTACTAGAAAATGATCAACTCTTGCTTGATCACTAAACTTTGATCATATGGCATTGTGTGAAATTAAGATGGATAGAAAACTTTTTAACTAATAGAAAACAGAGAGTGGTTCTTGGTGACAATATCTCAGGTTGGCTACCATTTATCAGTGGTGTACCACAAGGATAAATGGTAGGAGTTTTAGGACCACTACTGATTTGATTTTTATTGACAGAATAATAAAAAATCCCTATAATGCTCCCTATAATGCTGCAAGCAAACACTATTAAGTTGATAGTTACTAAAAAAAAAAAATAGAGTTATGAAGCAAAGAAACGGTTGACAGAAGACTTGAAAAGTTGTAGGTTACATGAGTCAGGAAAACATGAAGATGGGAGAGAGTTCTAAAAGGTTGAAGTGCAGGGGAAAAATTTAGACAAACAAAATTTTTTAAACATGCAGTGACAGATTCAGTAAACAAATGAGACTTTGCTGAATGACAAATCAAGCAAAAATGAGTTTTAGCTGATGTACTAAAGATGATAGCTCTTTTGAGCAGTGACCATGGTAGTATTTGTAGAAAAGAGAAAGAGATGCAACTTTACAACAATGGAAAAGAGGCTCAAGTTTAGCAGATAGAGCAGGTTCAACTACATTTACAATGCATTTGGACTTCTAGAAAAAAAAGAGCGTCATTAGAAGAACCAGCCCAAATATGACAACAGTATTCCATACAAGGACAAACAAGAGACTTATAGAGGTAGAGAGTGGAATTAGAAGTAAAAAAAAAGCAAGCACAATAAAGAGAAGCAACCTTATGAGATGCTAATATAGTAATTGATTCTATGTATGGTTTATAATGGAAATAGAAAACTTTTTGTCAAGATGTATAAAGTAGAGTCTTCAGCAAAAAGAGCTACTTTAGATGTAAGGTTGTCGGAAAGATCATTAATGTAGATAAGAAACAAAACAGGACTGAGGATAGAACCTTGAGATACACCAGAATTTATTGGAAATGAAGAAGAGTGTTGGCATTCAAGGATGACTTTAATAAAGCAGACAGAAAGAAATGATTCAATAATATCAAAAACTTTCCAGATGCACCATATGAAGCAACCTAATGAAGAAGACCAGTAAGCTAAACTTTGTCGAAAGCTTTAGATATCTCAAGAGCAATACCCCTAGCCTCTTCGCGTCCATATAATGTACAATAATATCTTTTAGTCACAACAGTTAGCAAGCCGTAGAGGATTTGACAGATCAAGTCAAAAAACCTATCAAACTTTATGCTGATGATAGTATAATAATAAACATAAAAAATCCTATTGATTCAATAAGCCTTCAAAACGATATAAATAATATATTATATCCATGTTATTAGCTCACAAAATTGAATAATGAAAAATGCAAAACTATGCATATTAGAAAAAAAAACCAAATACTACATTTATAATGACTAATATTGATTACAATTACAATTATATATTATGTAACACTGAAGCTGAATGTGACTTGGGTATTGTGGTTCAATTTAAGAATTGAACCATAATACCCAATTGTGGAGAAAATGGACAGTTAACTCAAAATGTACACATTTTGAGTTTGCAGTCCAGGCATAGTCTCCATACCTACAACAAGACATAGACAAAATTGAAAAGATCCAAAGAAGAGCAACCCAGCTAGCACTTACAATTAAAAACATTAAACATTATGCAATTAACAACATTAGAAGAATGTAGACGATGTGCAAATCTTATTTAACATTACAAAACTCAAAATGATCAAATAAATTGGGTTACAGAGTATTAT